ATTTAAAACATAATTGGTCAAGTGAAACAAGTAATTTTTATTTAGAATTAAAATTTCCAGAAGGATAAACTTTAGGAGTAGCTAAAAGTAAATTAAAAGTGGATGTCTATTTTTCACATAAAAAACCAATATCATTTACAACAAGAGCAGAATTTTAAGATGAAGGTAGAGTATATTCTATATATGTTTCTGGAACAACAGATAATTGTTTATTAACAAATTAAATATATTTGTAGAGAATATAAAAATATTAAATGATAGCAGAAGAGAAAAAACCAGTAATGTTTTAAGAAGATGATGGTGCTGATAGTGATAATGAAAAAATGAAAAGAAATCATACTATGTCAGTTAAAAGTACAACTAGTTCAAAAGGAACATCTCATTTAGGTTATAGGCCTTTGGATATTGAGACTTAGAATGAAGCTTGTGATTATATAATGAGATGGATGAATTATCATGTTCTCACTTAACCAATTAATAAATTTCCTGAAGATATAGTAATAAGTTTTGGATAATAAATATTTGAATTATTAACTTTTTTAACAGGGAAAGCGAATTTCTCATATAAAGCATAGATTGATCAAAATTGGAAGAGATAGTAGAAAGCAGAAGCATAATTTAAATAATATGATGAATTAGTAAGATAATTAAAAATAGAAGGTGCTCTTCTGAATCATATAAGATCAGAATACTTATTAGGGCATAATGATTATAATGCATGGTTGAAAACTATACCTAAAGATAAATATGAATTTGTACCAGATAATAGATTATAATTAAGTTAAGCTAAGTATAATTATTTACATTATGATGCTTGGGTTTCAACATTCTATCAAATAATAAAAATTTATTATTTAAATAGAATAACTGCAAAGTCCTTTAAATAATTGCCTGGAATTCCTGCAGAAAGATTAAACATTCCAGATTATTACTTAGATGGATCTAATATTATTTCTCATGCAGAAGGTGTTATTTTTTGGTTCTATGAAGTTTGTTATGAATAATAACATACAGGATAATTAAGAAGGATAAGTAATTTTGCATCTGAATTTAGGGATAGTTTACTTATAGCAGATGCAGTTACTTAATTTATTGGTCCAAGTATGTAAAAGTTTTTTAGCAATTTAAGAACTAATCTTTAAAGTGATGATGATTATCGACACAATGCAGATAAATTAATGCCAGCTTTAAGTGATTATGGCTTATAATCTCATGTTCAAGCTAGAGATATCTACCATAAACCATATCCAAGAGAAATGTTAATGATGTTGGTACAATTATTTTTTTCACTTCCTCACTATGTACCTTAGAAAGAACCTATTATCTTCTAATGTATTTTGGGAGAAGAAGTAATAAAATCTATAGAATTAAGAAATCCCACTCCAAAACCCATTAGTTATTTTGTTAAGTATGAAGGTCACCCTGATTTTTAATTAGAAGGTGATGAAAGTATAAAAATAGAACCTGACATACCTTATAATTATAAGGTGAAATTTACTTCCCGTATTTCATTGCCTGTTACAGGTAGAGTGATTTTTACAAATAAAAAAGAAACAAATGTTCAAGCAGCAGCATTAGTTTTTGATTTGAAAAGTAATATAACAGGAAGAAAATCAGAAAAATAATGGAATGTTAGTTCAATACTTTATGAGATATTTGATTTTCAGATTTAAATAACAAATAAATTTCCATAAGATGGTGAATTTTAGATATAAATAACACATGAGAAAAAGTAAGTAGAACAAAGAGGAAAAAAGAAGAAAGCTCCTCCAGCAAAAGATGCTCCTCCAGAGGAAGAATTCCCTTCATTTTTCTGTACTATGGATAGACAAAGAATTAGAAAGAATTAAACAATTAATCTATCATTAACATACATTCCATTAACAATAGATACACATAAATGTTCTCTTATTTTTACAGATCCAAATGTAGGTGAATTTTAACATGATTTATAAGGAACAGTTGAATTACCAAATATTATTGGTGAATTCAAACCAGATAAACCACTTTATGTTGATAGTACTTTAACAATATCATATTTGATTCCATTTAGAAATGAATAATTGGCTCGTGCTCGTAGTTAGATTTAATAGTTGGTTCAGATGAAATAGAAAGATAGATATTTAAAAGGTGATAAATAAACTACAACTTTAACAGCATCTAAACTAAATTTTCCAGGTTCTAATTTAGACATCATAACATTTGAAATTGAAATTTATCCACCTACATAATATTTGAATTTACCACCTATACTTTAGATTACTGATTTGAATAAATAAACAAAGAAACCAGGTACTGAAAATATTGATTGTAAACTTCCAATTCTATATGCATTTAAAAATGCAACAAAGGATTTTAGTGTCATTTTAACTTTAAAAAATAAATTTGATATTAGAAGATATAAATTATCTGCAATTGTATTACCAAAGATTGTAAAAGCAATGTTAGAATTTAGAGTTCCTGCAAGATAATCAGTGATTTAAGAAATTCCAATAGTAAATTAAACAGATAGAGATTGGTAAATAAAAGTCTAATTGTCAGAATCTAAAGGATTATTTTCCTGCCCTTAAAGAGATTTCTTTGTTAAAAGGAAAGGAACTAGTAATTTCCCAATAACTTTTAGCCCATCTTGGTTATAAGAAAGTGAAGCTAAACTAGTTTTGACAAATCCAACAACAAATGATGTGTTTGAATATGATCTAAAAGGTTATGGCGAAGAACCAGTAGCAGAAGAACATATAATTTTAAATTGTTAAGCAAGGAAAGTAACTAAGAAAGAAATAGAATTGAAGAACACAACTGATAAAATAATCACATATGCAGTGGAAACTGATTTAATCTATGCTACAGGGCCATCCCAAATTATAGTATAACCATAAAAAAAAGCTACTTATGTTTTATAAGTATAACCAGTATTAAGTGGATAATATACTGGATCTATAACATTTACAGATGAATAAGGACATTATCTATGGTATACAGTATTTATGAATACTGAATCTCCAAAATCAGTTTAAACTCTTGAAGTTTCTTGTTTAATTAGATAAGCTACAGTTATTTAATTAACATTAGCAAATCCACTTACAGAAACTGCAATTTATGAAGTAATGATTAATGGAGATGGATTAATTGGTGAAGAGTAATTTGCAATAGGAGCTAGAAAAGAAGCTGGTTATGAATTGACATTTGCTCCATTAAAAATTGGTAGATGGAGAGGTAGTGTTGCTTTTGTAAATAGATTATTAGGTGAAGTATGGTATGAATTCATTCTTACAAGTGAAGATCAACCAATTGTTAGATTAAATGTATTAAAGGCATCATTGGGCAAAGTTGAATAGTAAGTTGTTGTTCTTGAGAATCCTTCTGATTAAAAAATCTAAGTCTAATGCAGAATTACTAATCCAACAAATTTTGATATATATCCTGATGAATTACATATATAACCATATGATTCACTAAAAGTTGCTTTAAGATATACTCCTTCTTCATTAGATATTATAGAATAATCAGATATAATTTTTACATCTCCTATCGGTAAATGGCATTATTTAGTCTTTGGAAGTGGATTACCTCCTACTAAATTCCCTGCAACTACTGTTAGTATTGGATTAAATAAAGATTATAGTTCAGTTATTCATTTTAAAAATCCATTTAAAGAACCTATTCAAGTTTCTATTTCTTTAGATGCAGAGGGCCATAATTAAGATGTTTTTAAATTGCTGCTTGTTAGAAATCAAAAAAATGATAAGACCCTTGTACCAGGTATGAATGTTCTTTAAGTTCCGTTCTCTTTTGTACCTAGAGAAATTACAAGTTATTATTGTGAAGTCGTCATTTCTATGAATGAAAAGATTTAATGGCATTTCCCTGTTAAAGGAGTTACTGAATCTGTCTCTACATAAACTCTATTTCATTTTAAAGCTAAATGTAGAGAAAAATGGGAAGATGAAATTAAAGTAGGTCTATAAGGAATTGCTTAAAGTTTGTAAGCAGATGATAAATTTGATTATGAATTAGGTGGAATGCCTTTAGATTTATAGACTATGATTTAAAAATGCTTTACTATTAAATGTCTAAAAAATCATCTTGACAGTCCACATGATAATTTACTTTATTTTGTAAGATTCTAACCCATGAAACCCTTTAAAACTTCAATGGAATTTATTGTGCTTAGATAGTCAGGAGGAAGATGGAAATATAAAATTTAATTGGAAGCTACAGAGCCAGAAGAAGATGATACTATTTTAATTAGTTCTCCTCTTAATAAAACTACAAGTGTTTCCTTTAAATTAACCAATAAAACTAAAAATTATAGTAAATTCACAGCTGCTTTCTCTCCAGAATCAGATGCCGAATTTTCAGTTATACCTAAAATTGGTGATTTAGAACCTTATGGAAGGGAAGGAACTACATTCATTATTAGTTTTACACCTGTTGAATATGGTAAAATTAGAAAGGGAAAATTGATAATTTAGACTGAAGATATGTATTGGTAATAATTTAAATCTACTTTAGGTCATATTCTATTAAAGGAGTTTTACCTAGGTACATTCCTCCTTAAATTAAATAATCATTAGTTGATAATAAATAATAATAATAATCTTAAATTCAAATGTCTATGACTCTAAGTAGGAACTTTGTTGTTGATAATATTAAAAAAGCAAGACAGTTATCACCAAAAAGTGCTCGTAATTAATTGAGTTTACCATTAATTGAAAAAAAATGATAAATCATGTAATTTGTTATGATTTATTATTATTTATATAACATTTTATCTAAGATTTAAAATTAATAAATTTTGGTATAACAAAACAATTAATTTTATTTGCTCTTAATTTATATTCAAAAGATTAATTTAATATTTTGTGTGATTTAAATGTTATATATTCTCCCTCACTAAATTGCACTTTTGAAAATAAAAATTGATATAATATATTTATTAAAATGATTTATAATATTAATTTAAAATGAACTATTTCAGTTATATAAAATAAATAAATTCATTTAAGTTTTATTTGTTTAGGGATAAAATGTCTAATTGAATAAAAAAATAAGCTTACACAAAAATTCCCAATTTTATTTTATTATATTTTTTATGCAAAGAAGAATCTGTCTTATAATTTTCATTAATTTCAACACTATCAAAATCATAATAATGGTTCTCCTCTTAAAGAGGTTCATCACATATTGATTTTTAATAATTAGGATTGAGAGATTAGCAATAGTTTATACTACTTTATTGAGTGACACTAGAATTCTTTCTGATATCATCTCTTTAAAAGGTTCCTCTAGCAGAACCTAAAGGAGGAGGAGCCAATAAATGATTTGAACTTATATATATTTATTTAATATACCTATGTTAAATGATACCTGACAATTGTTTTTCAATAGATTTTTTCATTTCATTAGAATTAATGGGTATATTATTTTTACTTTAATTTGGATTAGTATCAGTTTAATAATGAGTAGATTATTTAATCTCAGTCCAATCAAAATTACCATCAATAATTAGATTAGTAGATTCAGCTGCCCTTCTAAATTCTGATACAATCATTTTGTAATTGGGTTCCTATTTAAATTATAGTTTTCTTAAGTAACTTAAATGTCAAATTTGATGAGTACTCAAAAATGCGTTAAAGCTCACCAGGTTAATCTTTAAATACATCACGTTCCATTGATAACTTCATTTCTCCAACTTTCTTTGTTCTTTCATCATCTGTAACATTAACCATATTTTACCAAGGTAACTATCTTTTTTAATAAATAATTAATTACCCTCTTAAAAAATATAGTAAAATATACATTAATGATTCTAAATCATCTTTACGTCCTAATTCATGTCCTAAATGTGCAGCTATTGATGCATATCTAGTTGTTCCTAAGAAAGATTTTTGATCTTTGAATGATCTAAAATTATAATATAAACAAATTCTTAATACATATGCTTTCCATTAGAATCTCGAAATATTTTGCTTATACCAAAATCGATTAAATATAACTTAGATAATTCTCTTCCTATTCCTAAAATGATATTTTCTGGTTTCAAATCTCTATGAATTACACCTTTTTAATGAGATCTCTCTAAAATCTAGACTGCTTAAATTCCTATAGTAAGAACAGTCTTTAGAGAAAATTTTTTTAATTACTTAAAATGGTAGGATAAATCCTTCCCCAATAATTAAATCACTAGAATGTTATAGCCTTGATCTTCACCTGACCAAAAATATTTTGGGAACCCTTCAGCCCCATCTAATTTCTTAAGTATTTAAACTTCTCTCTCTAATGAACGCACTTCTTCATTTTCTTCTTTTTCTACTTTTATTGCTACTTCAGATTTTGTTAAAAGGTCAACTCCTAAAAAAACTACTCCAAAGGAACCTGAAGATAGTTTTTTGACTATCTGATATTAATTATTAAAGATTTTTTAATTAGATGATGCCCTTTACTACATTTTTTATGATCTTCTTTATAATTTTTAATATTTTATTAATTTTCAACTTTCAATATTTTCAACCCTCTTAACAGCTATTATCATATCATATATTATTGATATTACAATAAGTTACAAAATTTGCTTTATTATTCAATCATTCTACTGAAACCGATATTTTTTTAATTTTAGAATAAATCATAACATAAGAAAAATATTCTGACATTTTTACAATTTTTATTTTTGAGAAAAGTAGTATACAATCTAAACTATAATAGGACTAAATTCATGTTATTTAAAAATAAATAGGATTATTTAATTAAAAAATTATACAATATTAGGAGTCAGAAATTTCTTATTTTCACTATAACTAAGAATTTTCAACTTAATCCTTAGAATTTTTGAAATTCTTCTGAATGGCTCTTAATAATTTTATGTAAAATTAATAGGTTAATACTTATTTATAATAATTGTAATAATTATTAAAATTATATTAACAAATTTATTATGTCAGATAAAAAAATCAGAAAAAAATATCATGATAAAATTGCCTTTAAATTGGAGTTACCTGGTACAGAAAATAAAAAAGAGAAAGCCAGATAAAGTGCTAAAAATACAAGATAAAGAAAAAAAGCATATATAGAGAGTTTAGAGTAAAAGGTTTAAAAGTTATTAAAAGTGTGAGGTGGCTCAATTAACAGGTTAAATAAATCAAAATAAAAGAATTGACTAAAAGCCAAGTCTTATGTCATTAATGGAATAGTTTTTAATTGATAGAAAGTAATAATTTGACATGCTTGAAAAAGCGTATTAAGAAAATAATGAAGCCAATATAAAAGTCATAACAAATTCATTAAGATTTAAATATGGTATAGCAGGTTAAGGTCGTTAAATGGCTATAAATAAATTATGCGATATGTTAGTAGAATTATTACTGCCAATGCATATGAGATATTTATTTTGGGTGGCATCGGAAGGTTGGCATTAATTTATTATTTCAAGATTTGGATATTTTTAATAGAGAAAGATAATCAGGAGAGTTTTAATCAAACGATATGAGTGATAGTTAACTTAATTGTTTAAATTCCTTTGGGTTAGATGATGAATAAATTCTCAAAATTTAAAATATGCAATCATCTATTTAAGAATAAAGATAATACTATGATAATTTAATTCTTGAAATTTTTAAAATTTAAAATTGGATAACAAAAGAAAGTTAAAAGTGCTAATAAATTGCTGATGAAATATGGGATATACTAGAACCAAAATAAGCTGCAGGACTACTGATTTCATTAGATAAAGTATATATAAATTTTTTAAAGTAGAATCGAACTGAATAGTTTAAAGAAAAAAAAGTCTATCCAGATTGCGTATTATTAACATTGTAGAAAAAAGCAAAGCAACAGATACAAAGAAAATAATCCACATATTTTGAAATGAAGCGATAAAATAAATAAGAGGAATTAGAAATGTAAAATTATTTTTAATAAGATTTTATCAATTGACTAATTTTATAAATATCAATTTAGATAAATAAATTAATAAATTCATAATTATCGTTTCAATTCTAGTTTTTATTTTTTCAAAATTCTTTGTGATACTATTTTCAATTTCTTTATTAGTATTTATGTATTTAATACATTAGATTCTAAAATTTGTTAGTGGAATCTGTAAATGTAAATTCTCTCTTCCAATTATGCCATTCTTGCTCTTAAAATCTTTCTTTTCTACATCATAAAATAGTGTATCTATAAACATAAATTAAATACGCTTAAATGATTTTTAATATTGGTTCCTTATTTTTTTCTTTAAATTTTTTTATAAATTAATAAGCAAATTAAACAAAATTGCAAGCTAAAATAAAATTTTTCAAGTTTTTTTTTTACTTGATTAATTTTTAATAAATATGTATTGAAATATGGTTAGAAAATTATATATTGTTTTTAATTTTTTTTATTAATTTCTAATGATTTTTTCTATTTTCTCTTGAAAATTTTATTGATATTGATTTATCTAACATACTCATACATTTTAGTATTGTTTAAATGAAATAGTACATATATTAATTGTGAAGACACCATATTTTCCCAAATGAATCACAAAAAGATTTTCATTTTGAGATTTATTCCGCTTTAAAATTTCCATTTTGAGTTTATTTAAAAAAATTAACTTTTGAAACTTTATCTAATTCAAGATCCATTTTTTAAATTTACTGATTAGTAAAATGATTAAATTCCAAACCAAAAACCGAAACAATCTCATAGGCTTCAAAATTTATTATTTATACGAAAAGGAGCTTATTGATGTATAAATAGAAATTAGATATACAATACTAATTATTAATTTGATTATTAATCATATTAAGGGTTTCCTTAATTTATTATTATCAAAATTAAGCTTAATATGACATAAAATATTTCTGAAGAAGAATAAAAGAAAGAAAAAGTTTATGATAAAATTGTTATACGGCAAAATAATTCAATAGTTCAATTAATGAGAATGTACATTATTATAATTATTTATATAAAAATATTAATTGATATTTATAGATATAAAATGTATGGATAAACAAATATTTTTATAAATTCATTGCTTAGAAAATCAATGATATTAGATATTGGATTTAAGAAAAGATAATAAAAAATTAATTTAAGGTATTTCGAATAATAATTATTTATTTAAGTATGGTTTATATATTGATATCTTAAGAATATATAAAAAAGGAAAAGTTATTTATTTGAAATATGAAAAAATTTATAAATAATTTTACATGTAATAACTGAATGGCAATGATGAGACATCTACTTTAGATGAGAACATTTCTAAATATTATCAAATAATAGAATTCAAAGGTAAAGGAGCTTATGGTATAATTTGGAAGGCAATAGATAAATAAACAAAGAAAATAGTTGCTTTGAAAAAGGTTTTTTTTATAAAGTATTGTAAAGGTTTTTGATGCATTCTCAAATGATACAGATGCATAGAGAACATATAGAGAAGTAATGTACCTCTAACAATTGACGTAACATGAAAATATAGTGAAATTATTACGTGTACATAGAGCTTTGAATATGAAAGATTTCTATATGACATTTGAATATATAGAATCAGATCTTCATAAAGTATAAATAGTTTATAATAAGGTGATTCGAGCAAATCTTTTATAAGTATAACATATTATTTACATACTTTACTAATTGCTGAAATGCTTAAAATATATTCATTCTGGAGGATTAATTCATAGGGATTTAAAGCCCTCAAATATATTGATAGATTCAGATTGTAGAATAAAATTAGCGGATTTTGGTTTAGCAAGATTAGCAAATGAAGTTGATGGAAGTAGCGTGATGACTGAATATGTTGCAACTAGATGGTATAGAGCTCCTGAGATTCTGTTAGGATCTCCAATATATTCAAAGGCTGTAGATATGTGGAGTGTAGGATGTATCTTAGGGGAAATGATATTATGTAAATCATTGTTTGCTGGTTAATCAACATTAAATTAATTAGAAAAAATTGTAGAAGTACTTGGTAGGCCTACATTAGATGATTTAAATTAAATAAATGCACCTTTAGCTGATCAAATATTTAGAGAAATTTAAAATACAAGAAATAGAAATTTATCATCATACATCAAAACTTAAGATCAGATTATAGATTTTATTTAAAAATGTCTTACTTGGAATCCATCTAAAAGAATGACAGTTGAAGAAGCAATCTCTCATTCTTTATTAAATGAATTTAGAGGATCAGAACCTGAATTAACATATTCAGATTAAATTAAAATTGATTTACCAGAAAATTTTAAATTTGATAGAAAAAAATATAGAGAAATTCTATATAAATTAGATATTAATTATTAAAAATAGCAATATATTCGATAATTAACTTAGGAAGATTAAATTCCTTCAACTTTAAAAAGTAATTTAAAAATACCTCATTAATATCAAACTTAATTTAAAAATATAAATAATGGGATTGAAATTAAATAATTTAAGAAATCAAGATCTTAAAATAAATAATCAAATTAACTTTAATAATATTGTTCACATTTAGATATTTAAAATCATATTTTAATAAGTTAATCTTTATAATAATAGAATTTACTTCCTATTAAACATAAATAATTATAGAATAGAGTTAAGACTCTTCCTGAAAATAATGTTGAAATAATTTAAACAATTGAACCTAAAAGTCCAGTTAGAGGCAGATATTTTTCATAAAATAAAATACTACAATAACCTTAAATGATTACTTCAACTACTCCTATTAAAAGTAAATCAATGAAAAATAGAAAGTATAATAATTCTGTAGATTTTAATTCTTATCTTAACAATAGTTCAACTATGTAAAAACTATTGACTACCTATTTGAATCCAAAAAGACCAACAAATTATAACTTCAAAAAAATTGCTATAAGAAATAAAACAAATATGGATAAAACTTTCATTAAAAAGCATATTGCATCAATACATAATATAGATGCTGCCAGCGTGATCTCCCTCTTAAAATGAATTAATCATATTTTTAATTATTAAATTAAGTTTCTCATATTTATGCTATTTGATAATTAAACTATTTAAATATTTACTTTTCAATGGAAGTACGAAACAATAACATTTAGAAAGCTTTGCAAACATTCTAACATACTAAAAACTCTAGTAAATAATATTCTATCAAATAAGATAACAGATTGAAAACTTCTCAAACTGATCTTCTAAAATCAGTTGACACTCAAAAAATAATGAACGATTTTTATGATTAATGTAAAAAAAGATTAAGTAAATTTCTTTAAAAATATTTTAGGAACATAAAACTTCATTCATGAGAGAAATAAGTCTTAATAATTTTAATGTGATTCATTAATGTAATCAATAGATAGTTGTCCTTCTTTCAGAAATTAAGTTAGGACAGCTCATAATTCACCTCCTAATAAATACTTCTTATTTAATACTTGTGAGAAGGTTTTGCATCAAAAAAGCAATGGATCTAAACGTATACAAACTAAATAAGCAGAAAGACTGTTTATTCAATAAATAAATTAAAATAATCGAGCAGAATTATTATTAAAAATAGAGTAATATATAAGAGATTATTTTACTGAAGAATGTAGAGAAATGGCTAATTTATTTGACACATTTATGAGAGAACTAAATTATTAAATATCAGATTAAAAATATTAACTAACCTTACAAGAAAAACAGTTAGAAATATAAAATATTGATGAAATTATCAGAATGAAAAATAATCATGTTTGGGCCCATGAAGATATGGAAAAATAGTTGATTTCATTAAAATCTTAAAATATAAATCAAACTACATTAATTAAAAAAAATGAAAATGATTTAAAAGATTTATAAGCTAAAATTAATTAGTAAAAACAATAGTTAGAATAAAAGTAAAATGAAATTCTCATAAAAAACAGGAAAATTAAGGAATTAGGCTATGAAGTACTTTAACTTCAACGAAAACTTGAATATTTAGAAAATAAAGCTATAAAAGATCATAGATAATCAACATAATAAATTAGATATTCAATATTCTAAAGCTAATAAATTGGATCTAATTCAAATTTAAGTTAATAAGGTAATACTACTTCAAATAAAGAAAATAAGTTTACTCCTTTAATAGAAGAATAACAAGAAGATTCATCTCCTACAATTACAGAATAAGAAGATGAAGAAGAAAAAGAATTAAATTAAATTGAATTTCATACAGAGAGGATTGTTGAAACCAGAGAAAAATAACAATAAGTAGAATCAGATTTCATTTTTAATTATACAAATGTTTAAGAAGTTTAAACACATTTAAATTTAATTGATAAAAAATTTGATGATCTAAACTAAGATATTTGTGATTAAGCTATTAATTTTATAGAATTTCTAAATATTCCAAAGGATAAAACAGAAAATGATATATCTTAAGCAAATATTTCATTTTTGAATATTAATACTATGGATAAATTAACAGAAGAAGAAATTATTAAATTTGTTGATAATTAATTCTCTTAATAAGGAATTCCATCAAGTACACCTTAAATAGTAAGATAACCTTCTATGAGAACTAATATGAAAAGAGCTTCCATAATTTTTGATAAGTAACCTCCTTAAAATTTACAAATTCCTACTAATAATAATAATAAAATTAAGTCAATGATCACATTTATCAAATTTTAAGGAATAAAAATATTCTAACAAGAAAATATTGTTAAAGAAAATAATTCCACAATATAAGAACTAAAAGCTATTAATGATAATTTATTATAGTAGAATAAAGATCTGAAAGAATCAAATTCTAAAATGTTTGACTAAATAACTAATCTTCATATTAAAATATCAGACCTAGAAAATTAAATTATGTCAGATGCAATGGATCTCAATTAAGTTCTTGCTTAATAAGAAAAGAAACCATAAAATTAAAAATTAAATACTTTGGTTTAAAGAAAAAATAAAAAAGCTGCACCTTAATTAGGATAAAAAGTAATCTTTATAAGATTTTATTTTAGGTTACAATCAGTTATGATTTTTAAAAAAATTAATCAAAATTGTTAATAGAAAAAATTAAATCTAAGACAATGGGAAAATTTACTAATTTCTTACCATTAAAACTTGTACTCAAAATGATAACTACATTTTATTTAGAAAAAATAACAAATTAAAAAGAAAATAAATTACTTAGAGATTAAGATATGTCAGCTTATATATATAATTATTATTTACAATAATTTGGATATACTAAAGTTACTGAATAAAGATTTATGATACTTGTTTTGTCAATTAAGAAATATATTTAAATTGTTAGAGTAAATATGTTTGCTAAATTTATGAATTTATTAGAGGAAAAATCAAACTATAGAGTTGAAGAACTTTAAAGATATTTAGAAGCATTAGAATATGTATAGAATATTTAAAATCTTGGAATTGCTATTAAGGACAATGAGTAAGAATAAAAGCATTATATTCCTTATGTAAGAGCTTTAGCTTATTTGGGATAATTATAAAATTTTAACTTTACTTAAGAGGAATTAAATTATTTAAAATAAGACTTAGAAAATTAAAAAGAAAATGATCCAAAAAATATAAACAAGGCAGGAATAGTTGATTTTGATTTACTTATGATTAGAGTTTTGACAATTTTTAGAAACAATGTAGAAAAAACTAAATTATATGTGATAAATGCATTTGCAGCAAGCGATCTGGATGGAAATGGAATGTGTAATTTAGATGAATGGCTTCTTTTAATTAGACATATTGAACCAGAAAAATTTGAGGAAGAAAAATTTGAAGATATTTTTGAAGAATATGCTGATCTAGTAGAGGACGATGAAAAAAATCTTTCTTTTGACAGATTCTCTATTTTATGTATGGAACATGAGCTATTTAGTGATGCTTAATAAAATAAATTTTTAAAAGTGAAAAGTAAAAATAATAAAATTAAAAATTAGGTAATGCTGATGCTGAATAAAAATTTGAATAGCTAAAAGAAAACTGGATACAAGTTTATACAGAATAGTTGAAGAGGTTGAATGAACTTAAAATGGAAGAAGTTGATAAATAAAAATGGCAAAAGATTCTCAGTGTTTTGGATAGAAAAATTGGGTCAGAATATAGCAGCAAAAAACCCCTTCTTATAGCCTTTAAAATCTTTTTGGAAGAGTCTAAATGAATAGTTTCCTGTTTATTATTATTTCAATTTATATGATAAGCTTGGATTTTTATATTATAAGTTCGAGAAATCTCTAATTAAAATTAAATTAGAATTAATAATAATTTTGTGTAAATAATTATATTAGATGCAGAAATTCTTAAATAAAACTATTGTTGGATAGTTTATGTAATAGTTCAAATTAACAATTAATTGTTTTAAGAAAGGTTTAATTTTAAATTAATAATATTTTCATTATCTTATAAGTATATTATTTATATACGATATGTTTAATAATTAATTTTTCAAGGATTCATTTTTCTAATAGCAAATATTATCACTAATTTAGAATAAATATTATTATAAATTTCTATAATATCAATAGTTTATTTTTATCAATTAGATACATTATTCTAAACATTAAATATTATAAAAATGAAAAACATAAAAAAATGTTTTATGTCTTTCGAGAATTTAGAATTAGAAAAAAGGTATCAGTTAGAGAGATCCTAATCTATAAAAAAACCAGTATATACTTGCATGCTTTGTTTATCCTTTATTTGTAATATCGTAGCGATAATTATACGATCAACATAAAGACCTGTTTTAAGTTTATATTTAAATTGGATCTTGACTTTATCAACGATTTTATAATTTATTTTTGTTATTGTGATGAGAAAAGTATAATTTTTACAATTTGGAATAACATTTTCAAGTATTATGATAGGATTTTTATAATTAAATGTAGATTAGTAAACAGAAACAAAAAGTGAATTTTATGCATATGGAAATGCTTTTATGTAATATTAAGCAGTTTTATACTTAATATCAAGCTTTAATCATGCAATTATTTAAGTGACCATTCATTTAATTTTACGTATATTAATTACAATATTTTAATCAAATAAAATTGATTGGCTATTGGTTGGATTAGGAATTATTGGTGGATTACTTATACTGATTGCTGTACATTAAAATGAATATAGATCTCGATAAAATTTTATTTAAAATTTAAAGGAAAATTAGCTTTAGGATGTGTACTCTTTTATAATTTAGAAACCTTTTTTTAAAATATCATTTTCAGAAGGATAATTAATGTTTAATCTAAATACTAAGTATTAGATTGATTAATTTCCTGGTTTTGATTAATATTATTGTGATGGATGCAATATTAGAAATTTAATGAGATCTTATATTATTGATAAAAAATAAAATGTTGAATCTTTTTTATTATCTTAAAAATTATAAACATTTGGATAATTATTAATTACATTTAAAAAGTAAACTTTCTAAATAAAATATTGCAGGGTTGATCTTTAATAATAGAATTACTTAATTATTTTATAAGAAATGGATATTTAAGATAAATATAAAATAAACATAGAAAAAGAGTAATAGAAGTTGTAATCATTTTTGAGAGTGAATTCAAATTTTAGATATAAAAAATTATTTAATTGGGGAGTACTTTCAATTGTGTTGTTAAATAATAAAACAATATAAAAAATAGATTTAAAATAAGTAATAGCCAGATTAATAAATATTTATAAAAAACATTTATTTCCCAATTTAACTATAGAGATAGATTGTGATGAGAAGAATTTATACATTTACTCATTTAAAAATTAATTGTAAATTTTTTTAATGTAAACATTTGAGATTATTTCAAAGATTTAATACTTTGAAAGGAAAAAGGATGTATTTTTAATTTTGAAAAGAAAAGGATGCGATGTATTAATAAAAATTTTTAATATAAATCAAACTTAATTTAATTTGAATTTTTGTTAAAACTTTTTTATTTAACGTGTTTAAAGTCTAATCATAAATAATATTTAGAACTTAGATTGTATATGTTTAGAGATTCGTAATCATCCTATAGGATCATTTAATCGATAATGATGATTCTATAAAATTTAATTGTTTACTATATTTTGTTGAAACTTAAAATAAATAATTTAAATATTAAATGACAGAAATCATAAAATCAAATTTTTAGTCCATATACTAGAAATAACTTGGTTTCCTGATTTAAATGTACCAGGTCCATTGATCATATTGTCTTTAAATTGTCCTTCGAATCTTCAATAAATTTAAAATATACCTATCTCCATTTGTAAAAATTAAAACACCTTTTCCTTATTTTTTATCAAGAACAAAGTCTCCTGAATAACTAATCCAACAATCACGAATAGAAGTGAAATCTTCATAATTGATATCTTAACAATCTTTAGGATTTTCATTAAATAACATTCCTTTACCTTAAAATTTTCCATTAACCCAACATCCTTGATATGCTAATTTACCTGAAGGATAATATAAAGATCCATATCCATTCATGACATCATTTTACCATTAGCCAATATAAAAACCACCATCATTATAATAAAGACTTCCTTATCCATTTTTTTTTGAATTTCTTTTAAATCCTTCATAAATAGAACCATCAAGATAAGTTTCACAAATATATTCTTCATTTTAAAAATTAAATTATTTTGATAGAGTATTAACATCTGATTCTCTTTCTCTACAAAAAGGATCAGATTATAAATCTATTTATAATCCATTAGAATATGATTTTAAGTCTTCAGATCCTGTTGATGAAGTTTCTGATTATTTTTCAGGACTTTGACGATATAAATACATTTATGAAGGTTATTATTAATTTTTATGATTAAAATAAGTAGCTCTAATTTATTCAATTTTTTCTTATAATAAACTTTAATTGTTAGATCTAGTGGTAGAAATAGGTGTAATATTTTCTTTTTTTTAAGAGATAGTATTTGTATTGATAATTAAATTAGATTGAGTTAGTGGAATAAGAGGAAGTGGTTAACTAGATTATGTCTTGATAATTTATTATTATTAAGATATAGCTTCATAATATTTAGATTGTTCTTAAATAGAAAAATTAGTTGGATGTTAAATGTTTTCTGGTTGTAATTAGAATGCTGGTATTAATCTTATAATGTTTCCATTTAATTCATCTCTTAATTGAATATAATTAGGTCTTTGGATTCCTCCAAATATATGGAGTAAACATTCTTTTAAAAAAGGTTCAATTATTTGATCTAACAAATTACTAAAAAGGTATGTATTTAAAGTGCCATCAATATTAACTAAGTTATTCATTAGATTGAGTGTAATCATTTCTAATAATATGATTCCAATAGGCCATGATGAATACACAGAACCGGATTAATCTTTATAATGTGGTAATTAAGGTGTTTTAAGATCAAATATATATGGATCCATTATTTTGATCATTGTATCAAAAAGTAATGTATTAGAAGACAAGTTATATTGAATATTATAAGTTTAATAGATTGCCATAGCTTCAATTAGTTGTTTTAAGTTATATACAAGTTCTTGATTAGTAAAATGTTGAGAAGCAATTCTTCTTCTTCTAATTTCATTTGATAAGTCAATTTCACAAAATTCAGTATAGATTTTGATAGTGTTATTAGAATTACAAAAGATTCCTGAATCATCTTTCTAAACACCTTAAATTTTAAGAAATATAGGTTATTTCATATTCTTTTCTTTGAGTCTAATAAAATTAGTAAGTGTGTTGACTTGTTCATCTGTTAACTATATTTTTCTCTCTAAAATTCCTCCAGGGTAATGAGTTCCTAATTTGGTTTACTTGAGTGGTTAACCCAACACCATTGATGATTGTGAGGTTCCCATAATTAATATGTTTCAGTTAAATTTAATAAATGAACAAAGCTAGACGACACAGTTTCAATGAAGGGGATGGTTTAAAACTAAAGAGACTCAATGTTCTATATCCAAATACTTTTGTTAAACAACATCAG